GTTCTATGTCTAAGGAACCATTTTCCAAACTACACACTACACATTCAACTTCACCATATCCAAGGGTTGTAGGATACTTGATCACACTATGAACCCTGAGATTGTGTTATTTACTGGAAAACCCTGTTTCTATCTGTGGTATGGCTCAGCCCTAGCACAGATCTTTAGTGCAAGAGCTTTCTGTTTGAATATTGTAAACAGGATTAAATAAAATCAACCAGTCGACAAGAAAAAGCCATAGAGAGTAGGAGGAAGTCAGGAGGATGGCGAGGGGTTAGAGACACACAGTAGAAGGGAGGAACATGCAGTTTGAGGAGTTTTGTTTGTGAAGGCATAGGAATTGGAAGGTATGGGGTGACAGCAGAAGAGGAAGCAGCTGGGTGCTTTCTCTGCCTCTCTGCAATAGCATGTTTTCACCCTAGCATCTGGCTCCTGAGTATTGATAAAATAGAATAAGACAGAGAGAGACTTAGATAAATAGATAGAGACTATGATAGAGACTTAGGTAAAAACAATACCCAAGTCCCATTTGAACATTGCAAATACTTCAAGTGAAACACACACAAACACACACACACACACACACACACACACACACACACACACACACACACACACACATAGATACACACAGACCTGGTTTAAAAAAAAACAAGCAAATAGCACAAGAAGCATAAATCCCAATGTATTAATATAAGAAAAATGAAAAAGTCAAGGCAACATAACTCCTCTGAAACTTACTAATCCTACAGTAATGGTATATTGTGATTGATGGTCAGATGAAATCCTAGTAAAAGAATTCAAAAGAATGTTAATCCCAAGGGGTGAGAATAAAACCAGTACCACAATTTTTGAGTCAAATTTGAATCAAACTTTATTAAACACTGACCAGGATGACAGACATTGGTCAGTTCCATACCAGGGATTCCCAGAGAATAGCTGAGAATTATGTCAGTCAGGTGCTTATAAAGGCAAAACCCATTAGGCTTTTTTTTTTCGAGACAGGGTTTCTCTGCATAGCTTTGCGCCTTTCCTGGAGCTCACTTGGTAGCCCAGGCTGGCCTCGAACTCACAGAGATCCGCCTGCCTCTGCCTCCGGAGTGCTGGGATTAAAGGCGTGCGCCGCCACCACCGCCCGGCCCCATTAGGCTTTGTACTTCCCACCTTCCTACCTCCTGCCTGTGTGCGATCAAGCACATCTTGTGCAGTTGGGGCAACGAACCTTGTTTACAAAAGTGAAAACATGTGGCTTGTTATCTTACCTGAACAACAGCCCCTAGTATCCCAGGACATTACCTGTCGTTAGGCAAGTGGGGCTTAGAGGTTAGAGGCATTTTTGTTTTAGAGATCTTTTAAGCACAGGAATTTAAACTTAAACCAAAACTTTAGCTCTCACAAATCATTATAAGTATGTTCAAAGGAATAAAAGAAAATCAGCTCTTGGTAGAGAACACAATCATAGCTGAATGAAATAAGAAAGGTGATGAGAGATGTGAAAGAGGAATTCAACAAAGAAAAACACTAATGAAAATCCAAACTGAAATGCTAAAAATGAAAATCATAATGATAGAGTGCTTAGTTGTAAAACAGGATTCACAAGATTTCTACAAGATTATAGATGACCTTGCTTGGTCAGCTCAGAAAGGAATGTTTGCAGACATAATTTATCTTCCAAGATAATCTGTTTTGATGGGAGCATGCAATTCCAGGAAAGAGAAACTACAGAACTGCATATAGTCCACATGGCTGCAACAACTTCCCCATTCTCAAGTCCCTCACCTGGCCCTATAAAGGGTTGCACCCAGCTTTTTCCCCTTACAGGTATTCCTTTTCCCACAGGAAAGTGTCTGTCCCCTTCTCTGTTTCAAATAAACAGTCCTGTCTGTTGAAATCAGAAACCTGTCTCTTTTCTGCCTTCTGTCTCTTTACATTGTCTCAGAAAGCTAACATTTGGTGCTGAAACAAGAGAGCATCTGGGGTCCCAACACCCATCTGGGGTGGCTTCACATCCTCTTTCTGGGCTCTTTTGACTTTCTTATCATCCATGTCTACTCTTGGGACCTGTTCTTTCAGAAGTACATGCCAAGCTCACTATATAGGCTAAATAGGCACCATTCTACCTGAGACCTCTGGTCTTTATGGCCTTTGCCTCTGTGAGTGGTGCAGGTCCTGTGCATGAGACTTCTGGCTCTTGGAGCTTTATCGGAGTTTCTCTTTTTCCTTTTACTGAAAATAGATTTTCTCATACAGTATATCCTGATCACAGTTTCCTCATTCCTCTATTCCTTTCAATTCCTCTCCACCTTCCCTCCCATCTGGATCTACTCCCTGTCTCTTTAGAAAAGAACAGGCTTCTAAGAGATGACAAAGTACAACAAAATAAAATATAAAACAAAAACTATCATGTCAATGATGGACAAGGCAAACCAACAGAAGGAAGAGAGCCCCAAGGTAAGGCACAAGAATCAGAGATCCACTCATTCTCACAGTCATGAGTCCCATAATAATACTAAGCTGAAAGCTACAGTATATATCCTGAGGACCTGGTACAGACCCATGTAGGCCCTGTGCTTGCTGCTTCAGTCTCTGTGAGTTCAAATGGGCTTTGCTCAGTTGATCCAGAGGGCCTTGTTATCCTGGTGTCTTCTATCCCCTCTGGCTCTCACACTCTTTCTGCCTCCTCCTCCTCCTCCATTGGGTTCCCTGAGCTCTGAGGGGGGGATTTGATGGAGGAATCCCATTGAGAGCTATGTATCCCAATACCTGTGTGTGTGTGTGTGTGTGTGTGTGTGTGTGTGTGTGTGTGTGTGTAAAATGTCTGGCTGTGGCTGTGGGTCTCTGCATCTGCTCTCATTTGCTACAGGAGGAAGCTTCTATGATGATGAATCTATGAGTATAGTAGAATATCAGTAGGAGTTATTTTATTGATGTTTTTTAGGCCAGTCGTGTTTGGTTTTAACCTACGTCTCTGGGCTTCTAGTCTCTGGTTCTTGGTCACTCAAGCAGTGTTAGGTATGGGTTCCATCTCATAGAGTGGGCCTTAAGTCAAATCAGATATTGGTTGGCTATCCCAAGAGTTTTGTGCCACCATTGACCTAGCATATTTTGCAGGCAGGACATGTTGTAGGTTAAAGGCTTGTGGCTGGGTTGATGTTTACATTTCTCTTTTGGCAGCCTGCAGAGTACCTTCTCCCACCAAAGACACTAGAACATAGGGGTGAAGTCTCCATGTAGGCACCTGCTTGACTTGTTCATGTTCAGCAAGTTGTGTGGGTGTTGTCCACAGTAATGAGGACCCACTGTCAATTTGTGGAGGGCAACCCATTGTCATGACAATAGCCTGGGTTGTTTGGGGATTTCCATTAGAGTCCTTTGAGGAACAACACAATTGAATGCAACCCACTCTTGGTACTAGAAACGTCATTTGGTGATGAGATGGCAGTTGGAACTGTCTCCCCCATCATTAGAAGATCTTATTAGGATTGTCTTCATATATTTCAGGAAGTTTCCACTGCACTAGGTTTCCACACCATCCCTCAACTGCCCCTCAAATCCAACTGTTTCCCCCCACATTCCCTCTCTCAATTTTATCTTCCCCCTCCCCAACTGATCCTCCCATAAAATCCATTCTATTTCCCCTTCTGGGGGAGATCCATATGCCCCCTAGTCCCTTTCTCTAAACCTGACCTCTCTGGGTCTATGGATTGTAGGTAGGTTATCATATATTTAATGGCTAATATCCACACATAAATGAATAGACACCATATTTATCTTCCTGGGTCTGGGTTACCTCAAACAAGCAGGATGATTGTTTTCCTTTTTTCCCCAAGCCAAACTGTATCCAGATTTATTAAAAATACTTTCTATAAACAATCATGGTTTTTCAGGCAGGACATGGGCAGACAGTCATTAACAGTATATGGTGGTATTCTATTTGTACTGAAATGTGATTTTAATTGTATGTTAATAAATAAAGTTGCCTGGGGGTCAGAGCTATTAGAGCCATAGAAAGAGTGTGGCGGTGGTGGCACACGCCTTTAATCCCATAGATCTCTGTGTGTTCAGGGATACAACCAGCATTGGAGACATACGCCTTTAAGACCTAGAGGGCTGTACTTACAGGCAGTGA